CTTTTTGGAAACAAGGAACAGCCTGCGGATTTCTGACATATTTTTTATTTCTGTTGTAGTTGATGATGGTGCTGCAGAAAAGGAAACGCTACCTGAATTTGGAGAAGGCAAAGATACAGGAGGACTGGTGCCTGGAAAGTCCTTGGTCTTTGCAACACTGGAGTTGTGTGTTTGTATTCTTGTCAGACAGCTTCCCCAGCTCAACCCTAAATTAACTTGTAGCCCTGCAGTTCAATCAGGAAAACATCTGTTACTATCAGAAGATGGAAGTAGGCTGGTATCAGCAGCATTACTAATTCTCTCTGATGTTCCTGCAATCTGCTCTCCTGAAGGTATGCTATTTCATCACAAGGAAAGACTAAATGAAAGATTATTGTGCTCTTCTGAGCAACCTGGTTACTACCTACTTTTCTCAACTGGATAAATATGGCAGAAAGGTTCATGATTTGCTTGTGACAATTTCCTGTTCTAATTTTTTTTTTTTTTTCTGTCAGGTAACAGAAGTTACCAAAGCAATTGAAAGAGCCTTTTTTCTTTTTCTACTGTGTTGTTGCAGTGCAGTTAATGGATTTCTTTTGTACAGAGGAGTGTACAGTAGATGCGTGCTTCTATCCTACTTTAATCTTCTGTTCTGGAACTTATTATACAGACAAATTTAAAAGGCAAACATATCATGTTCAGTTTCACTCAAAGCTATCATTTGAACATTAGCAACCTGCTCTTAAGTAGTTATGGTTGGTTCTTCAAATTAATTGACTTTTACCCCATGATTCATTTTGAATGCACACCAGCCTTTAAGAGGAGGTCTTTTTTTCCTCAGCAATATTGTATTCATACACGTGATTCTTCAGTGCTGCTACAGGGTGCTGATAAGCCATTTCTGGTGCACTCCTCCTTTCACACCTCAGGTATCTGTGTTATTCTCTGTGCAAACTATTGCCTTTATCAGCTCTGTGAATTTCTTTTTTCTGACTTCTGCGCTCTATCACAGAATTCTTTATAGGGGCTGGTGTGCTTCAAATGGAACAGTTAACAGTTCTTACTATTGTTCTATAGTACAATATCATTTCTTTTTTCCATCTGTAGCCCATTATGTGTCTTTTTTTCTTTAATATCAAATCTCCCTGAACTTTTCACTACAATTAATATGCATTGTTTTACAGGAAGTGTTTCAGTTCTTCCTACTATTTTGTACCTAATTATTGGTGTACTTAAAGAAACTGCAGTCAAAGAGCAAGATGGCCAGCTGCCTTTGCCAGTTGCTGCATCTCTACAAGCTCTTAAAGGACTTCTGTCTTCACCAATGGCTCGAGCAGAGAAGAGTCGGACTGCATGGACAGATCTTCTGCGCAGTGCTTTGGTCACTGTACTCGACTGTTGGGATCAAGGTAAGGACGAGTTCATTTTGTTGAGATTAAATTTATGCATGTCTTATATAAATAAAGTCTAATCAGTAGCCAACTAATTCTCCTGCAGGTAAGTACTGCTGAAACTATAATGCCATCCTGTCTCTACAGTTGACATGAGAAGTCACAATCTGCAAAGGATAAATGTGGAACTGCGGATGTACACCTGCATTACACAATGCCACAATGTAGTTACACTGTGTGATGGAATAAACAGAAGTTGTAACTTCAGTGTAAGCATAAAAGTCAGTTGTAGTACATAAAAAACAATGTCTGTATTGGCAGCAAAGTGAATTAAAACAAGAGTTTAAGAAAGGCAGTCAAAACCTTTTTGTCCTCATGCTAGTGTTCTGTGTACTGTTTCTTTAGCTTGCCCATTTTGAATTTTGGCTTTTGTCATTCCTTCTGTTTAATCTCAAAGCTGTAGCTGTTATTGGAACATTTGTTTATAGCGCTGTTATTAATTTATTTGAATGAAAGCCTCAGTCGTACTGAAAAGGATGTATGTTTTTTAATTGTATATAATTGTCAAAATAGGTTGTTGTATTCCAACATGTCATAGCAGCTTTTCAAAGATATTTATTGCACTGCCTACAAAGAAAGAATGGAGTAGGAGCGTGCTGGTATTTCTAAATATGCATGTCACCACTCCTGAATTATGATTTTGGCCTCAGCGTTTGTAACGGTACAAACCATAGCAGTGCATCAGAGTGTTGTGTATTTGAAAAAAAAAGAGATTCCTAGAGAGACCTAGACATTTCTATTCCACCTCTGTGTAACGTTTGAATTCAAAGAATTACTTCCTAATGCAAATCTAACAGATCATTTGCTTTATTGATAGCAGATGGTGTTCTCCGAGAACTCGATGAAGTGAGCCTGCTGACCGCTATCACAGTGTTCATTCTGTCCACCAGCCCAGAAGTTACTACCATAGAGTGCCTTCAAAAGCGTTGTATTGACAAGTTTAAAGTAACACTTGAGTCAAAAGATCCTGTTGTAAGTACTGGTGAAGTTGTAAGAATATCAGTAGCATATTAAAGGCATTTTAGCTTATTTCCTGTTTAGTTGCTTTGTGTTTTGACTCCAGTTAATTCTGTCCTACCTGTATCTGCTGTATTTTGGAGTGGTTCGAACATGTTAACAAAACCATGCCCAGCAGTACATTTTGCCATTTTTTTTATTCTGTCTGCAGAATGTTTTGTATTCTTAACCCTTTTATTTCATTTTTATTTCCTTTTTCTGCATCAGACCCAGAGATTCACACACTGACAGTGACACAGTGCTAATACATAATCTTAACACAAAAAGAATATTTTTTCCTTAACTCAAAAGTCTGGGGAGATGTGAAGAAAGAGGGTGCATGATCTAGTTGTTGTTATTAATTTGGTTACAAGTTATAATGCTTCTATGAATTACTATGTGTTAGCATTCTGAAAACTGATTTCTTTTCACACTGTGAGGCAGATTTTTTTCCCTCCCTGAAATTTTATCCAACAAACTGTGAGTTTTAAAACACTCTGGCTTGTATTCCGAGGTATAACACTTTTGTAACTGGGAATTTGATTTTTCCCTTCAGGTACAGTATAAATGCTACCAGCTACTGCACTCCATCTTTCAGCATCCAAACAAAACTGTGTCATACCCTTATATTCACTCTTTGGCATCATCCATTGTGCGAAAATTGCAGGAAACAGAAAAATCAAAACCTGAAAATGCTGCAGAACTTCAGGTTATTCAGGAGGGAATCAAGGTGGTAACAGCTCTTACAGCTGCTGCTGAGGAAGAGCACCGTAAGTTGCTTCCCTTATTTGTATCCAAAACATTACACACACTTAAAGTTGTCACAAGTAATAAATTAGAACAAAAGGATCTCTGGGAATTGACTCCTCAACAATAATCGCTAACAGAATTGCTAGAATGTTGGTTCTTTCTAATATATATTTCAAATAACATTAGCTGTTTTACAATTTGTGTTATATATTAGCTTGGTTTGTGAAATGCTTCTATTAGCAATGTGAAGCTGTTTTTAAAGAGTGTATGTTTTAAGTCCTGTTTTCAATGCTTACAGGTGCTCATCTGGTGACCTGCCTTCTTCCCATCCTTATTTCCTTTCTTTTGGATGAAAATGCCCTGGGTTCTGCTACAAACACAGCAAAAAATCTGCATGAGTTTGCTTTGCAAAATCTGATGCAAATTGGTCCACAGTACTCATCAGTTTTTAAAAAATTAATGGCTTGCTCTCCGACCATGAAAGCCAGGCTCGAGTCAGCTGTAAAAGGCAATCAAGAAAGCATCAAAGTGAAGACTGCTAAACTTGCAAAGAATCCTGGGAAAAGTTCGAGCATTCAGCTGAAGACCAACTTTCTTTGAAGTCTCCCATTTGCACTTTGATATCAGCAGCAAAAAATACTCCCTTTAATTTCTAAACAAAGGATTTTTGTGAGTTGTTCTCATATATTTTTCAGTTTGCGCTGAAAAATTATAGAAATCTTTTAAGAGAAAACAGAACTCTAGGTGACTGCCTGTTAGTTTAGCAGGCAATAGTCGATAAACAATATGAATAGGACTATCAGAAATAATCTAATCTGTGTTTCTGGATTAAAGTACCAGAAAAGTACATGCCTATATTAAAAGTCTTTAGTGAACTTTACGATAGATATATTTAGGAGCGGCCCACAATTAGCCAAAAAGTAAAATTTAATTTTGTTTTAAACTGATGCTTCTCAAAAATAAATTACCTAAATCATTTTTTGGATGCAACTGGGATATAAATTTACTTGCAGGTGGTAATGTATCTTAATTACTAATTTAACACACTGAATTATTGAGTAAGCAGATTAAATATCCTTTTAAGCCTTACAATAAATTATTGTTGATCTCAAAAAAAAAAAATAAAGATCAGTAAAGGTAATATTAATAGCTGTAATCTGAATAACTTCTTGAGCTGGCCAATGCTTAACAAATGCTGTTAAATACAGCTTTACAGTGCTTCTTCACTGAGGACTCAGTAGTGCTTTACACTGTGGGGCTGTTGTGCATCTGTTAGCATTTGCAGGCTTGGTGCCTTGCTGCTTGGCATAGTCTCACTTTTCAGGATGTATACTTGTGTTAATTCTGTACTGCATTAGCCAGGCAATTGAAGCTCTAATATCTTGTCCGTGATGGGACAGCAACTTTAATATACTGTGCCTCAATTCAGACATCTATTCTACCTGGATGTGTGTTTCCTGATCTTTAAATGATCAAACATATACACACATCACATAAATCTATGCATCCCTGCAATGAGAGCTGGATGTACCTGAAGTCAGCTTGTCTTGTGTCAAATGAAGTACAACAAACTCGTAATAAGAAGTATTTAATTAACATTTTTATTAAGGAACATATTTTAATATAGAGAAATAACTATTAAAAATTGCAATGGCTATAAAATATTTTCTACATATAGTAATGATTTTTTTCTTAATACCAGTATTGTCTAAACCAAACACTATTAAACTGAGGATAGTATTTCCCTCTTGATTCTAATTACTTTTGAAAAAAATAAAATAAAAAGGAGAGGGAACTGAGAAACACACTGTGACTCAGGAAAAGTGTGATGTACTGTATTTTATTAAGTCTTGTATATAAATATAATTGTAAATTGTACAGAATTGACCATTTGACCAAAGCTCTAACAATTCATTTTTCTAATTTACATAAATAAAGCTAATTTTCTTCATTTAAGATTTGTCTTAGTCATTTTACTCAATAGCAGAGGAACTCCAAGGACTTCCGTAACAGAAAGAAATGTTTGTATGCTGCTGCATGGAAACTAGAAAGGCAGGTCATGGCCAGATGCACCGAAGTTTGTGACCACATGGCAGGCCTTCCTCTGTTCTGCTCAACACAATGGTAAGTAAAGGGGATCAGGGAGATATGCATTATATATGTACATACCTGTTCTGTGCCAAATGCTGGTATAGGTGATCTATGAGAAGATGGCTGAGATGCCTTCCATTTTCCCTGGAGAACCAGATGTTTTGTTCCACATCTTCATTGCAGTCAAATCTGTAGTGAGCACTGGCTGTGTTGAAAGAGAAGTATGTAAAGTTTGTCAGTTACTGATCTTGATCTCATCAGTCACTTCTTTCCCTTTACCACTGACTTGGTACAGAGGTTTTTCTGTTTGTGTGTTTTTCTCCTGGCCACTTACGGAAAAATCACAGACTTGAGACTTAAACAGCTCAAGTGTTGTGCTGACTGTGGAAGTGGCAAAGTGTATTGCTGAGAATGGTACCTGCTACAATAGCTGTATGTGGTTACTTTTTTGAGTTGTGTCATGTAATAACAGCAGTCACCTTTTACTTATACTAATACTTATACTAATTTTTTTTGAAATATCATTAATAAAATCTGATAAAATCTTAATTTGCTTTTAAGAAGTTTGCTCAAGTTGCAAGAGCACCAAGCTACACCTATAAAGGCTAGAAGAGCTTTGTCTTGGATGTCTTAGGGAATCTCAGTGCAGGAGCTGATATTTTTTAGTCAGACTGCCGAGAGCCATAATTGTGTGTTTCTTGGTCAAGTCATGTAATGACATATGGCAAAGCTCCATTTTGAACATATCTACATACTGTGAATGCAGAAACAAAAGCAAGATTCACTGAAGAGAACTGCTGCCAATTGTTAATGTTATCAGTGCTTTTCCATAATCTGCAAAGTAGGATTATATGCATGGGTTTAATCCATGCAGATAATTTGTCCACATAAATAGTTAAAATACCTCTGCCCTGAGCTGTGCTTTATTATGTGCACTTAAAATAACAAGTTGAATGCTCACACGAATAATTTTACTTAAGATTTTATTAATAAATGTTAGAACATTGTTTCAGTTGGATATCAGATATCTTTGATGCAGTCTTGTCAATTTAATCAGTACCTATCTTTTTTTTTTTTTTTTTTTTTCCCCTGAAAAGGCAAGAAAGACCACAAAGTAGTTTTGGTTTTAATTCTACTTTTCTCTCCTAAGCATTGCTTAGCTCTGAACTTCTTATGTTCTTATGTTTAAAGAGACAAATATAAATAAAGAGCCAACCATATGCTTAACCATGAACAAGTCTCACTTTTACTATTTCAGCTTCCTGTGCCTCATGCCTCCTTGCTGATCATTCGTTGGCTTTTTTTTTTTTTTTTTTGCCATCTTTCTATAGGCATCAGTAAACTTCCATCCAGTAATTATTCTGTGCAGCAAAAGTTGTGGCCTGCACGCATGTTCATTTGATACAGCGTCCTCTAAAGCTTCATCCCTAATCTCTCTGCTAGGTGCAGTCCTTTTTGGCTTTGGCTTCATGCAATTCCATTTTATTAGTGGATCATGAGGCTTTCTTCTGCAATTGCATACTGTTTCTTAACCAGTAGTGATTTAAATCAATCTGTACCCCTTTCAAACTACTAATAAACTTGTGGTTGTTTTTTTTTTTTTTTCCCACTGGAAAACTTGGCCAATGCAATTCCAAGTAAGACAACGCAGTAAAGGGGGAAAATCCTTAGAATATGAATGCCCTTTGTTCAGTCTTTAAATAAAAGAACATACAGCAAGGTAGCTTATTCTTCTCTGCATTGTGGTGTCAAAGAACCCAGAAATGTTGCACTGAATGTGGTGTTGCTCATCTCCTCTCAAAGGCTGTGACCCTGTGTGCATTGCTAGACACTGCTTTCTGCATAGGTAGCCATGTGGCCTGATCAGACTTTGCCAGATAAATTTTCTCTCAATATAGAGTAATAATGAAATAGCTGTTGAGTTGCAACCTCTGATCCTTAAATGTAGCCAATAAAATAAAGCTTATCTGTATTTCCTTGCAGCTGAGTGTTCAAAGATGTACTAAGAAGATATCCATACGTCTCTCAGCTTAGCAACATTCTGAGCAATGTCGCACAGGGCTCCAGTTAACTAAGCGTTTAACATGAACAGCTCCTTTGCACATATGCTGCTCCAGCTATTAATGACAGCAGTCTATACTTTCAAAGACATAAAAAGCATGTCTGATGAACTACTAAATGCTTCATCTGTCCCTTAGATATTTTTAAATGAATAATACTGATAGTTGATTTATGTAGAATAGAATAAATGTGTCATCTCTACAAGGAAAGCTTAAGTGCCAGTGCTATGCCACTAAGGTTTTGTGGTGGTTCTCTTTGTTTTGGTGTACAGTCATAGATTTTTATTTGTTATTTTTTTATTCTCTGGATTTTCTGGAGAATAAATGGTTTGTTGCACAAGGGGAAGCAATATCAAAATACACCAAAAGTAGTGCTGAAGAGTTTTTCTGAGAAACAAGGCAAAACAAAAGCAGGCTTCCAAAATCTCTGTAAGAGATCTATGGTAGATTAACCAAAATTCACTTACTCTGTAGCTGAATATAATTTGAACTGCAGAATCAGACTCCAGAAGGCAGACAGTGGCATTTAATCTCTATCCTCTGCGCCTGTGTTCTAGCTGCTTAGTGAATGGCAGCACTCGCAGAAGGAAACAAATCATGATGATGAGTTCCAGACTTAGTAGAGCAGTTCTCCATAGGCATGTTACTATTTGTGCCAAACTGTTCACTTACTGCACAGAAAAACCTTCTGTTTATATAGGTCAAGTTTGCAGGTCACAAGTTTTTTCTGAAACTTGGTGGTAGGAAGCTGAAACATTAAAAAAAACCCTATTATAAGTTGCCACATTTTATGAATCGCAATTGTCTAGCCTAAAATTGGATTTTTTTAAGCCAATGTTAAAATTTATACATTAAAATTAATGTGAACTATCTCACTGCCAATGAAATGCATTGTGGAATTGCTAAGATGCCTAGTTGCTACATTTGGGAACTATTTATTTTGGAATGTTCTCTGGAGAAGATTTAGTTTATGGTATTTTTGTAAGCTTTTTATTTATTTATTGCCGTGTGCCTTGCTCCTCAGCATCTTTTTTTTCTGGAAAAAAGAAAAATAGAAAATTTTATATAAGATGTTTCCTGTGGTAGTACAGGCATTAGGGCCTTAGGGGTTCTGGAAACCATTTTGATTAATGCCTGAAATAGAAGTTTTGTACATTTGAAAAGACAACTTATTATTACAAAGGCAAATGCTCTTAACCTCATCTCCTTTTATGCAAGGTTCATGGTAAACAATATAGAAAAATAATTGTCAAAGTTGTATGCGTGTTTTACAGGTAAAAGGTACAGTCATAATGGGGTCAAACTTCTGTCACTGAATTTACTTGAAATATAGTTAGAGAAATTTTAAAAAAATGTCTGCAGGAAATCTCAGTTTTTCCTTTATGATAGTTCATCAAATATGTTAAGTAAGCGATCAAGGATGGCACTGGGAGAGGAACAGAGATAAGAGAAAAAGAAGATAAGAAAAAAAAGAGACTGAATCTGAGACAAAACACAATCTAGCTACATCTCACTATTTACTTGCAAAAACAGATGTGCTTGCCCAGTTTTTGTTTACCACTGTAGCCATCATTCTTAAACAGTCAAATTGCTGAAACTCTATTTTGATTTCATTTGTACTGTGACCAGTTCTGCCTGAGGCGTAACTGTCTAAACAATACTACTGTCACTTGTGGGTGGTGGGAAGCTATGCTGACTTTTTTTATGCCATATTCTTTCTTGTTCCACTGCGAGGCCAACAAACCTGGGAATAACAAGAATTTTCAAGCTGGTTGGAGACAGATACAAATAAAATTGTGTGATCTTTAGCCGCAAGTGGCATTTTGTTGTAGGTCCCCTCTAAAAAATACAGTAAGAATAGATAGACATCGACCTCAGAACGTCACAGGCTTCTATCCTGACTCTTCCACATCAGTTCGGAGAGATGGCAGAAAGGCCATGCACATATCCTTTGTAGGTGCAAAGAAGAAAGATGATCAGTAGGCATTGGTAGGCATTGGTAGGAGATACCAAAGCAGTTTTCTACAGCTGAAGGCAGCTGAACTTGGAGAAGGTATGACTGAAAACTCTTTTTTCCAAGTTGGCAATTGAAACCAGCCTTTCCAGAAGGTTTCTTTAAGTACCTGTTCACAACAGTTGCCTGGTCAGGGATCACACTGAAACACACAGCTCCCACAGCTCATGAACACAAGATGCATGAATGGTGCTCAGTAAATGCCAGCAGCCTGCATCCATGCCAAGACTTGGTAGTCAAATGCAACTAGACTTTGTGAGACAAGCTCCATAGATGTATAGACCTGAGCTTGCCTTCAAAGCAGTTTTCACTAGAATGCAAACATGTCTCTCTGTCCCTTATGTCTTCCAGAGCAGTGTTTGTTGGAGCCCTGTCGTTCCATGTGTATTTATTTATTTGCTCGGAGTCCTGCTCAGTTTTGTGTATTTGCAACAACATTCAGAACCATGAACTTAAATGACTCAGGATAAGAAGTGGTGATTCAGAAACACTCCTGAAGCTTTTCTGATCAAGAGAGAAGTGGAGAGGCTGTTGGACTTACTAACTATAGAGCAGAGAGACTACCGAAGCAGATATGGAAGATGGGACTGTTACTGCAAAGCTTCTGTGAGGGAGAAGGTGAATAGGGAACAGGAACTTACTTTGTTTGCCAAGTACAAACTGAAGCACAAACTGACATTTAAAATCCAGTCTCTATTCAGACTAATATCTCAGAAGTACATAGAACTTACTGCTAGAGATCATTACTGGTTATGTTTCTTACCTTCAGCCAGACAACACCCAGCTGTGACTCAGTCAGTGACTTCTGCTCAGGAGAAGTGCTGGAGGGCAACGTGCCCCAGACAAGTGAAACAAGACAGTCTCCCATGAAGGTGGGAGGCCAGAGGCAGGCCACTGGGAAAAGCAGCAGCAAAGACACCATTACAAAGGTTGCAGAGGAAACAACAATATTCTTGAGGGATTCTTTTTCAAATCAAATGAATGTTGAAGGTAAAGAACAGGCAGAGAGGAAGGAAGGGCAAAGCAGAACAAAAGAACAACAGACGCTACTAAGGCATCTGCAGTAAGAGAAAGAAAACAGTAATTAAATCAGTTACTTGGTAAAGCCATTGCTTCAAAATGGCCTGTGTGAGATTCATGCCACCCACCTGCTGATGTAACAGCAAGTCAGAAACTCTCCTACTCATTCTCACAAAAGGACACAACTTAAATTCTCAGGAAGGACTGTCAAGCAGGCAAGTACTTGGAATCTGACAATCAGTCCAACATGTTCTTGCTTCCCACTGTACCAAAACAGGTGAGTGTTCCTGTAGGGCTAGTTTACCCTATAGATTTAAGATGCCACAAAGCTTTTTGTGGTGTCATATTAAAATGATTATTTAATTTCACCTGATTTTTTTTTTGTTTTAAATGAATCACATTTCTGATTGACTCACCTAGGATGTGATGAGCCACATTAAAATCCCATAATCCCAGTGTTTATGAGTCTACTATTTAACAGCTTCATAGCTGACTAGAATCCTATACATACTTTACATATGAAACTACACAGATTTGTAAAGTTTCCATAATTTTATTGTATGTTACCTGTGCTTGTTCTGTTTTGCCGTGTCCATTATTCATCAGGAAATAAAAAGACTGTCAATCAGCCCTGTAAATCAAAGCAAAATACTTTGTACTGTGCAGTGCAGGATGAGGCAACTTAATGACATTATTATAAGAAGTAATGGAAACTTACATACATGCAACACTAAGAATCTATATCTGTTGACAACATATATAAGCAGCTGTAAATTGATCATATTCTCTATGGTTTCTAAGCAAGCTACAAAAACAGCCAGAATACAGACAGAAGCTTCATCAGAAAGCTGTGCTACTTCCACAGAAATATGAAAATGATTAAACAGTATACAAAGCAGGAAGAGAAGTTTGAAAATTATGTAACTTACCAACTGCAATAGGAGACACTCAGTCTTGTTCTCATTGTCTTCTGAGTATTGGTTACAACATCCAAACACACATACTATATGTTTTCACTAAAAGATTTTGAAACTACTTAGGAGGAGTTACATGAGTTGCAAAATTTTGTCACTGTTCCTAGATAAGGATTTTAACCTCAAACAGCAGTTACTCTTTGCATTTTGGATGATTTTCAGAGATCAGAAAAAATTCAGAGAACTGTGAAGTGCTTGCTATTGTTCAGTGGCAAATGAGCTTTTCTAGGGCAGGTAGATGAGAACAGAGTGCACTTACTGGTTCCTGCTTATTGTAATCTCAGGGGAACTGACAACTATCTCTAATTGCTGGCAGCACCTCAGTTTCTTGAGGGCAGGTAAGAGAGGGTAAATATCTCTAGTCTTTAACTGTGACTTGTTCCTACTCCCCTCTTCTGAAGAAATTTAAACTGTTAGTCTGTACAACGAGGGGCCTGAGAGAGAAACTGATTTTCAAAAGCACAAATAAGCGTGCAAGCCTCTCCTTTGGATGAGAGGAGAAGTAGAAAACAAAGCATGGATATATAGGGAAAAGCTTTCTGTGAAGACTGAATATTGCTGTGCCATTGTCCATTTCCCAACTAGCACCCCTAGCTGAAAAGGTCTAACATAGCAGCAAAGTGACAGCTTTGTGACCCTTTATAGAAACAGATCGAGGTCATAGGGACTGTTCTCCTACGAATAACCCCAAAATGGATATAGATTACTACTAAAAGACAGCAAAGAGTCAGACATTCCATTTATAGAAAAGTTGTGTATCACTTTATAGTTATGAATGTTTTGATGCTTGCATCTTTTAACCTTTTTAGGAGACATGGAAGTATCAGGATCCTTTTTCTTACTATTGCTGTTAATCAAGATAGAGAGGAAAAGCAGATAGGGCTTCAATCTTGAAGTCTGTCATCATCTTTCTTATTTAAAACATGATATGCTGTTGCTATAGCATAGTTCTTGCTGAAGTATACATGAATTGCCTAATGCTGAATACAGAAGTCTCATCTTACCTGACACCAAGAGAAATCTCTGACTTTCAAGCACACTTAAGGGCTAATTTCTGCACCCAGTTACATGTAAAAACATCTACTGATTTCATCTTGAATTTCATATATTGGTAGTGTACAATACTGTGATGAAGAACACGATTTACCTCTAAATATGTCTTGAGACTGCTTCCTGAGACCACCTGTGTGAGATAACCGGCAAGTATATTTGCATATCACTTCTGTAGCACATAATCAGCTTTTTGAAAACATTGCTTATTGCTTTCCCATAGAATTACTATTAATGCTACAGGCTGGGCAGTCTTGCTTGGTAGAGGCACCAGCCCTGCCTGTGAGACTGGACTGGATTCTGGCTTTGATTTGTTATCTCAGTTTCCCAATATGGAAAGAATCTCTGACTTGGTGTAAACTGGAAAGGCTAGTTCCTTCCTAGCTGTGCTCCCCTTCTTTCCAGCACAGTTAGAGAATCTTTCCCTCTGGGTATGTCCTCAGTGTCTTGGTGAATCATCCCTGGGCCGTGAGATGCAAGCTGGCTTATATCTACCCTCTATTTCACTGCAGATGCAACTTCTTCATTCCTCTTGGCTTTCTTTGCACAATGAAAACTTTGTTGAGTATAGCTGGAAGATTACTAACATGTGGAAGTGGGAAACTCTGGGACTTCAGAGTTAAAATACTAAGCAGCTTATAAGAGTGGACTATGTTAGTCTTAGATCTGCTTTTAACCCCTTCTATGAATTTTCTGTTTACAGAACGCTGTATGGATACATCTTTTATCATACATGTGCAGGAAGGCTTAAACTTCAGTAGAGGCCTTTCTATCATTTTGATAATAAAAATTCCAACCGATGATGTAGATTCTCCACTAGTGAATACCTGGGAATCGGTAGCACAAGATTCAGCAGCCCTGGGCTGAGCAGTGACTGGGACATAGACTAATCATTTTAGTTAAGAGCTATAATTATATACATGAGAAACTACTTCAAAAATTAGGCAGACAAATATTTCTAATAATTAAGTTGGCCCAAACCTTATTGATACCAAGTAGAACTGTATTTCTTTACAATAATTTGGTCTGCTGTTTTTAAGGCTGGCATTGTATGAAGAAACTGGATAGAAAACATTATTGCTTTGTTGCAGGCTCAGACACACAGTACTTAATCATTTTAATAAGTTACCTACGTTCACTGTGACAAGTGTTTACACAGAAAATTATATGAACAGCAAAACCCTAACAAGCTAATATTTTATAGGAAAACAACAACACCCTAACTCTGTAACATAGAAAAAATAGTAAAAGCATGTACAAAATGCTTGCCTAGTAAATCAGTGCTGGTGTCTTACCATAAGTAACTAAGAGTCAATGAAAACAGGTCACTGAGAAAAATCTTTGGCACAAGAACTTAGACTGGGCATTAGATGACAAGCACTCTATATCTAGCTTCACTTTTGGGAGGTATTAATATTAAGTACACAAGAACTGAAGTACAAAATCCTGTGCAGTAGTTGGAGTAACTTTGAGACCTATTAATTAAAATCCTGTCATACTGGTGTAAGTTAACTGGTTGCCAAATGGTATAAGATACAGTACAGTAAGAAAAATGAGTATGAATAATTTATCCTGTGCTACTCTCTCACTCACCACGTGGATCTTAGAATTCCTAAGGAGTTGCAACCCGGCGATGAAACTTCTCAAAAATAGGTCAATAACCATGTGTTACATGCCTTAAAAGGTAGGAACCCTTATCATCTTCATTATGCTTAGTTTTAGATACATGAAAGCTCTTAGGAAAATAACCTTATATTGATACCTGTTTTCTCATGACAATAGTTTTGTGTATGACTTTTCCTACAAACTCGCAGGTCTGCCACAAAACTCTCTACGAGATCAAAACCATCTTCTTTAATTGGCCTGGATTACATTTTGAAAGGCAGAGAGTGTGGGTAATGTTTCTGAGCCTTCATTGCAGCATGTTCACTTTTTCTTAATGCCAGAGATGCTCTTCAATCCAATACAGGCCTGGTATAAATACAGCTGAGATGTAAAGCTTCTCATTCAAAATCTGCTTCTTCTCAGATTGTTATCTAAACAGAAAGGTATTAAATTACTTTAAATATCTCAGGGAAGGTTATATTTCTCATTCTTTTTCTTACTCGAGTGCTGCTCCAAAAGTTGTGCCTCCTATTTTATTCTGTTGGCCCATGATGTCAGAGGTGGATGTTGGTGGTATGGCAGTAGAGGTTGAACCTTCCCGCCAGTATTCCATTACACTTTGTTGCTGTGTGACAGATGCCAGCAGAGAGGGAGACTGACAAAATGGTGTCTGACGTGGAAGTCCATATGAAGCACCACAGTGAGTGAAGAATAAAACTGGATGCTGTTGAAGTTCATAGAATAACATAGAATCTGCATTCATGAGCAGGGACACTTCCCACTAGACCAGGCTGCCCAAAACCCCAAACAACCTGACCCCCAGCCAAGAGGGGTGCCCCAGCCCTCTGGATCACCTCCTTCAACGTGCTGGTCATCCTAAGTTGAGATTCTTTTGTCTCTCTTTGCAAAATCATGCTCCCATTTTTAGTCAGTTCTATTTAATACATTTGTCACTTGTGAACAAGTCCAAAGGTTGCAGTGAAGGCCAAATTCCAAAACAGATACAATTTGACCTGTATTTATTAAAAAAACTGAGTTAAGAGATACACAGTCTACTACTACCTGTAATACATTCCTTGGGAACATAAGTACAGAAATAGGACTTGAAGGCCTGCAGAGACCTATTTTTACCTTTCTACTACAATTCTAAATTAGGTAATTTCTTCACTTCTGACAAACATTTAAGCTGTATGGACTGGCAGCTTTCCAGTAGACCAACCAAACTGAGGTTTAATTGAGGACTACACATCACATGTCCAAAAGAATAAACCATCATGAAACTACAGTACTTTCTAATTTTTCCACAAGATTCTAAGGCAAAGCAATTTTTCCTTTTTAGTAAATTACACAATTTTTATGTTGTCTGTCCCAAGTGCCATAGCACTTCTAGTTCTAGTATTGAACTTTGCCATGTTCCAACATAATAATGAGTTATCTTTTCTTGGTTTGAATCAAGAATGCAGCTCTTACAGTTTAGTAAGTAATCCAGTAATTCAGGTTTTAAGAATTCAAGCTTGTTTCTTCTTTTTGCATGTCAAAACATTTTACAGTGGTGAATGAGGCATAATTTAATTATAAGAAAAGTAAAAGGTATTAGAAAAGTTTTAAGTCTGCAAAAATTGCACTCTTTCCAGCAAAACTCCACGTAGCTTTGGGCTTTTAATCCACAAATACAAAATAACCATTTGGTGATCAAGACCCTTCATTCTCAGTGCGCATCTTCTGATCATTGAAGTTTATTTGTTCATTCATTCATACTTTGGGAGTCACATCAAAGCTTGGTAGGGTTACATGCATGCTTTAGTCACATAACAAGGGAATAAAACTAGAAGGAACAAATCTCAAATCTAATTTTCTGATTCAGAATGTAGTAACCTAGCACTTGCCATTAAGAATTTTTAGAAATACTATGACCTGAGATGCTGATCTTTGCTTGCATTTATCTTGGATTTATATTTATTGGCATTGCATATGTTATGTAGATGGAGTACAGTTACACCCTGAGATACAGAACTGCTGTCTAATTTCTGCCTCCCTTTCCTTTTGGCAATCAGATGTACAAGGGACATGAGTGACGGCAGGCTGTGACAAGGGGTTACTTTCTCTTGTATCTAAGTGATATACATAAACTAAGATAAAAGGAGTTAAGCAGTATGAAGTTCACCCACTTCTCACTGCCTAGCCTTAAACAATAAAACAGTGAATTTATACTTAATAAAGAAATACATCCACAAAGATGAGTTAACTTAGGGAAAAAAGCTCTATACTTCATATGGTTTTGAATCATTTTACAAAAAGAAAGAAAGGGTAACACTGGAGTGTCTGCAATTTTCCAAAATCTATGTTCTTTTGTATGTTAATTCTGACAATAAGAGCATCCCTGGAAGTTGAAACTGAGGAAGAGTCTAACAAAAAGAGCAATGACTCAGCTGTGTGCTTTCATAAACACCAGTATGTCACTCATACATTTACCACGTCAACATTAGTAACATGCTCACCACATCGACATGTGTAATTGCAGCATTTGGACTACCAAACAGGCAACCTCTCACACAGTGCTTGTTACAGTGGATTGCATAAGACTGCACAAAGTAAACACACCATGCTTTACAGCTCGCATACAATTGTTCTGTGATTGCCATGGTTGCAAAATTCAGTACTTGCTTTTGGAAAGTCAAGACGCTGACACCATGTTTGTGCTCACCTGACTTGTCCAGCAGTGAAGTAGCTAAGAAGGGAAAATGATAATACAGGAAAATTAAAATAAAAAGCTTTCACCAATTGCATTTTACTTAAAAAACAAACAAACAAACAAAGAAACAAGGAAACAAACAAAGAAACAAACAAACACCCTCTCTCCCCCCAAAAGACCACCTAAGTTTTCTAGAAGAAAATATTCTTAATAATACGCTTACGAAGTAAATTAGTTTAAGTAACCAAATTCTATAAAACTAAATCTTGTTTGTTACAGCAAACAAGTTTCTGTCCTTGGTAATTTCCGGCCTCCTTGCTTTGAAAAGTGTAGCCAGCATTTATTAACTTTTTAAAAGTATAACAGTCATTAAGAAAACAAAATGTGTAGTATGGAATTACTCACATTTTGTCTCAGGAGTAGTAGGACCCTTCTCTGTTTCCTACTACACTGCTGTGTGAGTGGCAGAGAAAAATTGTTAAAGCAAAAGGATAAATAATCTGCAAATATCCTGTTTTATTTGGCTGGCCTTTAGCATAAATGACTCAATTACATTTGTGGAGGTGTGCAGGGTCTGTTTATGGTACATTGATCTATTTACCCTACAGGAGTGATATTTTTGGAAACGTCAGCTTGGCATGAGCACAAAGCTAGGCAGCAAGGCTAACAAAAACAGAAATTACACTAGGCTCTACCTTCCATATAAATTAAAAATACACAGGAATCTGAGATGTCTTGTTTTGTTTTAATTGTAGGTGTACTTCACTTTGATTTTGGCAAGAGCTTTATATTTTCTGTATCAAAACACTAATCATTCCCAACCCAGGTTTACAATCCTTTTACAATCACGCTGTGACATCAACATTATTTACAACAGACATTTCCTTCTGCAACCAGTAACTCTTTATAGAAAACACCAGGCTGAATTAAAGAAAGAAAAAGAAGTAATATTTTTTTAGCTTCAAGTAAAATAAATATTTCTCCATCCTGATATTTTTCTAGTTATGTAACTTCTTTTCAAACAGAACCAAAACATTCTGAGAATACCCAAGATGTCTTCTTACAAAGTTACTGTCTCAAATTGGCTGTTCTTCATAACACACATCAGAATCTTTCTGCATTGGAAATTCTCCAATCCCTGATCTTTGCTACCCTTCCATAACATCCTTCTTTGGAGTTTGTGGGTCCACAGTATAATGTTATGCTAGCAACTGCACTGACAATTTCTTTTTTAAGAGAAGTCTTAATGCTCAGGATTTTCAGGTAAGCTTACAGCAAAACCGATGGTCGCTGTCATGCTCTACAGAGCTTGACTCCCTGTGTCCTTGTTACCATTTCACAAAAGCATCCTCACTCATTTACACACGTGGTCTGCTCAAACACTGAGGGATTTTCTTTTACAGTATTTAAGACTTAATACGATAGCATGTCTAAGCAACTCAGAGTTCCATGTTAAGATATTTCTGACGCCAGCCAGCATTATGATCTAGGTATGTTTTTTTGTTGTTGGTTCTTTTTGTTTTGTTATTGTTGCTTTAAATAAATAAGGAAACAGAGACATGCAGTGACTCAGGGGCTTGGGCAAGGTCATACATGTGTGTGTCAGCTCATGGTAGAACTGAGGTTATTTTTTAACAGAATGAGTAATACGTGCACTGTACACGTAGGTGAACAGCAGCTGTTTTTGCAGGTTTCACACAAATTTCACAGTAATCTCCAAAGAAGTTATGACACATCAGCTCCATTAGTTGTCACTTCAGTATATGGCCTTATTTCTGTTTCATGTCTGACTATATAAAAATCCTTCTCACCCAAAATGCTTCGGCCTAGCACTAACCAAACGAACTAGAAATCTTGGTTTTTGAACTTTGTTCGTAAGAAAATTACTATGAAAACAAATAATTCCATAAAAATGACTTAGGCAATTATTATTTCCTTCTTACCAGCTAACTGTAGTCTGATTTGATATGATTTTCCTCATATTAAATAACAGAGAGCAGTCATTTCTGAAGTGGCAGTTCTAGTCCAGTACAGAGAGGAAGTTTGACAAAGCAGCTGACAGGCAGTGCTCTGCGTAGTAAATCCAAATGGAGGATCCTCTGACAACTGCTGAAATTATTTGGAATGTCCAAACAGTACATGGCACTGAAAGTGTAAATCAGAACTTGAATACATATAAAAAGTATATAATATATGCAGCTGAAATTAGGTACTGAGCAGTTTGTTGTTTTTTGTTTGTTTGTTTTTTTACTTTTTCAGATTTAATACAAAGGGAGGAGAAATCTTCTCAGGGAGGAGAAATCTTCTCACATGAAAGACAAAACATTAATTAATTCTTATATATTACAAATGAATCACAATGAAAAAAAAAATCCTAATCCATACCTAAAGCTGCAATGGACCTTCTTTAATATTATATATGTATATATACACACATATTATTTACACATATATTATATATATATATATTATCTATATGTATATATATACACAAACACATATTTATATCACATGGGGAAATTAATGCAACAGGTTGTGCAAGTATTTTAGACATTTAGGAATGAAGATGTACAGCACTAAAAGCTATTGCCAGTATTTTTGAGCACCATACTCCCATTAAAAAGTATTTTAAACACATCATTTCTGTTCCTGCATGCACAGTATTGTTATTTTTGACTTTGCTCCATGGTTGGTCTCTAATTTGATAACCTCATCTTCTGCATGGATAACCATGTACCTACCACAAAGCAGGAAGCAGCCTGCAACAACAAGAGCTGTTTGATTTTAGTTCTCAGTAATTACAACTGAAAAATACCATTTGACTTTGGTCTTCAGGTGAAATTCATAACATTGCTTTACTTGAAACCTGCCTTCTTCACAGTAAAAAGCAAACTATCATGCGACAGGAGTAGTAAGGTCATGTAACAGATGCAGTTCTCACAAGTTTGGCCTAATTCAGCTGCCACTTCTGTACCAGTGAAAGTGAAAGAAGATCAAGCTTCTAAATTTAAAGACTGCAGACTCAGTTGTCCCAGCGTCTCATGTCCTTAACTTTAAGCCTTTAAGTCTCGTTCACCCCTGAAGGACGAGCATACATGAAGGAGACACTCCTAAACCTCATCAGGACTGGAACAAGTGGCAGTTAAGAAGCACAGTACAGGAAGATACTGAATTGTCCTAGTGAAACAGAAACAGGAACAAGGGAACTATTGTTTCCTATACTGAGGAAAAAAAAAAAAAGTATTAAAGATAAAACTTTCTGGGGGTGTTTTTACAACACCAAACAACAAAAATGTCTGCTTTTGGCAAATTCTAACAGAGCATGCTTGTTACTGCCTTTTTGTTCAGTGTGTAGTTTGTCTAATTACAGGAAATATCTATGATGTAGGTAGGAATGACATACAATAATCTTATTTACTGTATTTATATTAATAGGCTTAAATTCCTTAGAAAAACATAGAAAAACACACGTGAGCATATAGAGATGGAAATCATTTTACATTTCCTTCGTACTTTTAGTCCTTCATTTGAGGCATGCTGCAGCTTGCTTCATTTTCTGGCAATATGCAAAATAACTGCACACCTTAGCACAGCAAGCAGCACAGGGAATTTTCTGAGAACTGCCAGCATCCAAACACTACAGCTGTAATACCTCAAACTCACTACAAGATAAGGGCAAGTCACAACTTGTGCTCCTAAGGACCGTTACTGCTACACTTACACCCGTCATGCCTGCCACTCCTAATGGATGTGCTGCAAGGAGCAATGTAAGTTAATATGAGGAGAAAAACAGAAAAAAAAAAAAAATGGCGCGAGTTGAATCATTCCGTAAGCGTAAAACGAAAATCCCTACGCAGGCCGACAGAGCGGCAGGCCGCACGGGCACGGCAGGTCTCCCAGCCTGCTCCTCGCCGCCGAAGGCAGCTGGGCCATGGGGAGGCCGAGGCCAAGCCCAGGCCCAGGCCCAGGCCCAGGCCCAGGCACCGAGGCCGCACCCCGCCGAGAAGGTCGTGGCGCGGTAGGAAGCCGAGTCTGGGGCTTCCTCCAAGCGCGTGGAGCTCAGCCGAGGCCGGGCACGGCGTCACAGCGGAGAGCGGCCCCGCCAGTAGCCAAAAGGAAGCCGCAGGGCTCCAACCCTGCGTTCCGAGAGGCCGCCGGCCTCGAAGAGGCGCCGCAGCGCAGCCCAGAGGCGGCCGTGCCGGCGGAAGAGCGGGATGCTGACGCGGCCGTACGAGGCGGCGGGGGCCGTGCAGGCCTGCAGCCGCTCCCCCGCTTCAGCGCTTTAGGGGCGGCGGGAGGCGCGGGCCACACTCACGGCGCCCCTAGCGGCAGTACGGCCGGCGCCGGCTCCTCCCCGCGGCCGCGGCGCGGCTCCCCCTCCTCCCACCAATCCCGTACCGGGCGGAGCGCCATGGATGCCGCTGGCCGCCGTCTGCTCCGGGGCTCGGGCCGCCGCCGCCGCTTCGCCTCTTCCTCCGCCTTCCCGCGGCGCTGAGGAGAGGTCAGCTCTGGTGAAGGGGCTCCGCAAAGCCGAGGTGAGCGACGGGGGTGGGAGAGGCGCGGGGAAACCTTTATCGGCGTCTTTCGCGAACCGCCGGGCCGGCTCACCCCGTGAGGCCTGCGGCTCGCCGAGAACTCGAGCGTCGTCTCCCGGCCCGGCGGTTCGGTGTCGGCGGGCCGGGGGGAGCGGGAGCCGAGGCCGAAGCCGCGGCCGAGAGGCGGCGGGTCCCATCCAGGCTTCCTGCGGGAGACCCCGGGGCGGTGCCGCCTGGAGCCCCTCGGGCCGCGCGGGGTGGCGCGAGGAGGCGGCGCGCGGGCCTCTGCTGAGCGGGAGGCCGCGAAAATCCCCTCGCTCTGGGCCGGGGCCGCTGGGGGTGCGCGCGGGCCCGGGCCGTCGCCTGGTGTGGGTGAGGGACGCCGCGGCCCGGCCCCTTGCTGGGGCCGCCTTCCCGGGAGCCCAGCGCTGCCCCGCTTGCTGCTCGGCTCTTCGCTGCCGTCTGCCCCCGGCCCTGCCGAGTGTGCGGACGGCAGGTGCTGCTCTAGACTTAGCCCGCTCTCGCTGCCTCTCCTATGTGTCTCGTTTCTGCTGCCTTCACCCTTTCTTCCCTCCCTTCTCCCGTGCCCTAACGCCCCCAGCCCCCCGTTTGAGGTTAATCATTTAATCGCCTTAAGGAGACTGCTATAACTACAACGCGATCTCGGTTGTTATTTTATTTAGTCTAGAACAAGAAATACGGTCTGTAAAGTGCTCAGTATTGTCGGCAACTTTTTAAGTATAGAAAACGAATTTAGTAACACGAACTACTTTTTACAGTTTGCAATCCAGCAAGATTGGAGCAAAACCAAAATATTTGTAGCAGCAAGCAGTTCTTAAGTTATCTGTAATGTCTTTATGGCTAAAATGGTTTTTATGGTAAAAAGTCTTATTTATTCTGCTTTATTTTTGTCTCATCTTGGGATTCTAAGTTGTTGTGAAGCAGCACTGCTGGTTCCTTGTCCTTTTCTCCGTGTAGCACCAATATCTGGCTTTGTATATTCTTGTCTGCCCTTGGTGGAGTTATGTTTTAACTATTAACTCATTAGCAGCAAGTAAACAAGTCAGCAGACTTTGTCCGGGTCTGGCCTCTTCCTCCCTCCTCTCCCACACGTGTGAGGGCCCTGACCAGTATTCTGTGCTTTCCCATGTGTTTGCTGAACTTACCCTGCTTTTTTTTTTTTTTCCTTTTTTCTTCTTAATAAGCTATTCTAAAAATCCTTCTATTGTATTTAGTTTGAAGTTGGTTCATAATCATCAATTTGTTCTAATTTTTATTAAACACTATGGTCGTACTTGTTTACTGATCAGAAATACTTCCTAGCATTTTTAAGGGACTTTTTTTGGTCTTCAGTTTGCATGTACAACTGTGGCACTGGGCCAACAAATAATGTTGTTTTCCTTATAAGTATGTGAATTATTTTAATTATTCATTGTGCTTAAAAAAAATGTGACTTGTGTATGTTTTTTTAGTTAAAAAAGAAACTTAAAAACAGAAGTGATCCTGAAAGTATCTTTTTTCTCCTTTGACTTAAGCTTCTTTTTATTACGTTTCAGAGTTATTTTATTGGATGAAGCTGAATTTGTGAAGATTTTTCGTCTTTAGTCTTTCATCTCAATTTGTTTTGGTGCTGTGTAATTTTCATTTGAAATATGGCTTTTGGTGTCTTTTTGTATTGGAATACTTGAGTGGAGAGAGAATCCATCCTCCAGAAAGTTGGGTAGCTTATGAAAAAGATATATTAAAGGGAATGGAACAGACACAACAGCAGTGTTTGTCTTTGTATTAGCTCTGAGAAAATACAAAATAGTTAAGCATGATTTTTCTATTTATATTTTAAATTTTGAGTTATTTATAACAGAAGGCTTTAAGTCTTGCTTGTCAACTGGATCCAGAGATTTGTTTCCAAGAAAGTGGAGCAAACATATTACAGTTGACTCATAAAGCTTGACAAAAAAAAAAAGAAAGGATTGCTGGTCAGATATTTGGAAGTTGTGTTCACGTCAGCCTGAAAATAAGCTGTATGTTTTAGAGGAGAGCAAATGTGAAATACTATAAAGATAATTGTTGGTGTGTCTTTTTTTTTTTTCTTTCCAGGTGAAAGCTGCAGGAGCCTGGGCCTGCTGAAGAGAGGAATTAATCGCATTCAACTTTATCTGACTTGAACAATTAAAGGATATTTTTGGTACTTTTAAATTTAAGCAGAGGCGGCTTTTTTTCTTGTTGGTTGTTTTTTGTGGTGTTTTTTTTTTTGTTTGTTTGTTGTTTGTTTTTGGTAAGCCATGGCAGATGTGGACCCAGACACATTGCTGGAGTGGCTGCAAATGGGTCAGGGAGATGAAAGGGATATGCAGCTGATAGCGCTGGAACAGCTATGCATGCTACTTCTGATGTCAGACAACGTGGATCGCTGTTTTGAAACGTAAGTAGTTTTGCCTTTCATTTATGATATGCTGTTTTCCTCTTTTGATAGCCCCATATAACCTTAAGCATTCATGGCATTCAACATTGTTGAAATTTAACATTCTAAACTTGAAAAACTTTCAATTTTGAAAATGGTCTTACAGTCCAAACCTGAGTATCTGTTATGAAGTGTCTGCTAATGTGTAAAGTACTGTTTTCTAATTACAAATGTAGTGCCATGTGAATGATTCACAGTGCCTGTTCTGACTCATGGTTTGACTGTTTAATTTAAATAAATGTATTCAGAGTTGCAAGGAGGAAGAATGTATTTTACCTAGTGCTGCTAGAGGAAAAAAACTTTTTATGAGTTACAACAATCATGATATATATAAAAGTATCCATGCACTTGCAACACTTTTCTTAAGA